GCAAGACCGCCAGTGGGGGTGATTTTTCCAACTTTTTCTAGTTTTTCGAATTTTCTCAGCCTAAATCTAATTAAAAATGGAAAATAAAGTGATATTCGGAATCAGAGTCAAAAACTGCATCTAATGACGTGTCTGTCAAGTGATTTGCAGTACTTTCATTTTTCGGTCAAAAATGCAAATTAAAAAAGTTGAAAAAATGTCAAAAACTGAAAGTACTGCAAATCACTTGACAGACACGTCATTAGATGCAGTTTTTGACTCTGATTCCGAATATCACTTTATTTTCCATTTTTAATTAGATTTAGGCTGAGAAAATTTTAAACTTTAAAAAGTTTAAAATTTAATTAAGTTTTAATTTTAAAGGTAAAATTTAAAATTATTAAAAACTTACAATTCAATTTTTCTCAAAACTTTTCTGTTATACTGAAAAAAGTATTACACTCACTACCGCATCTGGCACCTAAGAAAGACTTTTGTCAACAAAAGTTTTTCTTCATCGTGCTACGTTGAGCCATAATCAGCGGCAAGGTTAGTAAAAGATAAGTTTTCTGAAAAATCGACATTTCACGAAAAAAGCAAATTTTTGTTGAACCGAACTTCGTTTAAATTTCGAAATAATTTCACCATATAAGCAGTTCGATGTCCCTAATCGATAGGAGCCAGTCTTATCATTAGAATACGCTTCTTTAATGAACAATGAACAATGCAAAAACCCCTTAAAGTTCTATAAACTTCTAAAAGTTGAAAAAAAATGAGAAGAACGTGTCTGGGAGGTTCAAACGTCTCACCTTATATGTAAGTCGAAATGGACAACAAAGTGATGTAGAAAACCAGGGGGAGTCCGTCTCCCCCTTAAGTTCGTTTTAGACGCACGACGCTGACGATAGTAAAACATAAAATTCTGCAACGTTTTGGACAGGGTAGAAGCTGAAATGACTTCAAGAACTGTGTCTGAAATCTCTTAGTAACGGTAACACTGCAAGCGACACATTCTTTTGCGATAGAAACATGTGACACATTATTTTTGACTTGGCATTTATTAAATTTTCATATAGTGAAGGAATGAAGTTTCCATTAAATGAGAATCCAGTTGAAACAAAAACTATTGAGAAAGATTTAATAGTCAAATTTGAAACACAGAACAATAAACTACAAGCAGTGGATGCATCAATTGAACAACTCAAAATCCAAATGGAACATGTAAGGTTGAGATAACGAACAGTACATTATGTATATCATATGGATTTATGTTTTTTCTTCAGCTTATTAATTTTTCACAACAGATAATGAAAGGATTAAAAATATCGACTGAGAAATCATTAGATAACCAAGATTTGAGTATGTATAAACAACTTATTTTAAAATTAAATTAACTCTGTTCTCATTTTCGTGAGATTTTTCTTTATATAATAGAAGGTGATACGGAACAAGAAGCTGAAACAAAACAAGACGATGATACGAAACAAGAAGCTGAAACAAATCAAGACGATGATACAAAACAAGAAGCTGAAACAAAACAAGACGATGATACAAAACAAGAAGCTGAAACAAAACAAGACGATGATACAAAACAAGAAGCTGAAACAAAACAAGACAATGATACAAAACAAGAAACTGATAGTACGGAAAATGTCTCAAAAATATAGTCAGTCTTTTTTATTTTTCAAAACATTTCTTTTCCATCAACATAAAAAAACTTTCGCAGAAATTGGATGTTTTATTTTTTGTATAATTAGTAATAAAGGTTTTATCATAAACTGTGACAAACTCGCTGCATCTAGGCATGCACCTATACCAGTTATTATCGAAAATATTGTACAATATTATTTGGTATCCAGTAATGGTCAGACCCAATATTATTGTAGGAAAAAGGTATGACACTCAGAACTACGTTGTACCATCTATCAAGGAAGATACTGACACCAAAACTACTTGAAGCCCAAGGCTCTTGAAAGTTTCAAATCAGGTCTCCAAATTACCTTGAGAATCTTTCTGTAAACATCTTCGCTCATTAGCACAAATGTTCCTGAACAAAATGACATTTCTTCGCTGTATCTTAATGCAGGAGAAGCCCCTGAAACGTAATCTGGTTGATGTTGACCGTTTTGATATTAACCTTACTGGTTTTGACGGTTTTAAGGTGTTTCGTGGGTCCAAGACGTCGCAAAGAGCTTGATGAAGTGGCAGAAACGTTTTTTGGTATAAGACGGAGATATTTGTAAAAAGTTCCCTAAGCTAATTTGGAGACCTGGTATTATAGAATTTGGATTTTTTAGAAAATCGAGCTACAAGTAGTTTTGATGGAATCCACTACCAACCATTTAAGACTGCAAAATTTAAATCGAAATGCCTGCACATGTTGATCTGAATCTTGACTAGCTTAATTTGAAATCAGACTAGACCAGATTGAAATTTGAATTTGAATCAGGCTGATTTCAGATTAGTCCGGCCTGAATAATACAGCATGGGTTCTCAAGTCAAGGGCTCTAAAGACTGCATTTTTCAATAAAAAGGATATGCGTTTAGAAATATTTATTCTTAAATTATACATATCAATTTATTTGCCCAGATCATTCGAATATTATTGAGAAAAGAAACCCTTCGTTAGTTCTCCCCCCATTCGTTATTTTCTCAGAGATATATACTACATATCTTTGATGCACCACCATCATCCTAAATCCGCCACTGCTAAGTTATATAAAATTTACACATATTTGAACATACAAGAAACAGATGGAAAAGAGTACACGATTATTTATGGTATTCTTTAAAAATCTTAGGTTGTATCTCGAAATAGCTGCTCTCATCAGAGGTTTGCAGTAGCGAAAAATAGCTATTGTGGTCGCAAGAAATGATAGAAAAAGAAAATTATAAATATTATTATGACATATATATCATTCATTTATTACACACATTTTTACGCAATTCCACATGCATTTAATTATAGTTCATCACTTAACGCGATTTCTTCTTATAGCAATCGAAGAGCCAGTTGGTCATCATTAATAATCCCATAAAGTTGCTCGCTCGAACTCTAAATGGCAAGACATATAGATCGTATGCATTAAGATGTATATAAAAATAACAGCAGTGAGATATTACCAACGCTGGACTGTTTCAGTAGTTCATTTTGTAAATATTTTGCAAATTCGGCATCATTCACTCCGCTAAAGAAAATATATTAGGCAAGCCACACGCTCTAATAAAGAGAAAAAGTTTAACCGTCTTACATGATCCATTTCTCTTTATTCGAATCAAATTGTTTAGTTATATAAGCTGTTTCTTCTTCTCTCTGTACTTCTTTCGCCGTACCAACGCCTATGCGACAATTATATCCCGACCTACGTCGTTGAGAACGATTACGATCAAAATGAACAGCAACTAAATTTCCAAACAACTTTTCGCTCACATACTCTGTATGTTACTTTCAGAATAGCTTACATTCATCTTGTTGTAGACGATGTGCTAAGCCGTGATCATAACCAATTAAAAATTGTTCACGGACTAGAAAAAGAAGGTAAATTTATCTTTTAGTCAAACCATTGTATGTATAGTACTTCGGAATACTCTTGTTCATATCGAAACAAGGCAATAACAGATGACTTCAGGGCTCATACTGATTATTAGCTATTAAGTCAACCCGACATAGCGAAAGGGCTACAAGTAATAAAAATAGCAAAGATTTCTTCTGTTTCATTCCTGTCCTAACTTTAAGAACCGTCAATTGCCAAATTAACTATATATAATTGTTTACATTTATAACAGTGCACACAAATTTAAATTCATTCTACTGACTTTTCTTCACACGTCCATTTTCCGGTTTTTGTTCTTCTTTAGAATCCTTTCTCAGCACTTTTGTTGCCGTTGATCTGACTTTGTTATTAGTTTCGCTTTGATGTTTTATATTTTGTCGGATGCGATTATCTGTCATGTTGTTTTTCCTCTTATATCCTTGCACAAGAATGCAGTGAGCAGAAATGACGAAAACTGGTGCATGTAAGAAGTATAATACCACGTTTTTCTTTATAATTTTCAAAATACCTGTACATGCTTGATGAGTTGTCCGGATATTTTATGACTACATTCAGTTGAAGCCGTTCTTAGTTGGCAAAGATCGCACAACTGAAGCATCTAGGCATTCTGACCACAAAGCGTCTCAGTTACTAATTGACTTAGCTGCACACTTTCTCTGACGATATAGAGAACTTACCTAGGAGTTATCTAACCCGGTTTAAACCTATAGACACCCTGCATAATATTCGAACAGAAATAAATCTAATGTTGATCATAAAGAAATCGAACTACAGGTACACACTTACGTTCTATTTTGTGTCCTTCAAAACAGAATGAATATTTATCCTATACTTAAGATTCATCATATACAAAAGAAGAAGATATCAGCATATGCAGGAACAGGCCACGTGTATGAGTTTATTGTTATTATAAAATAGTGCTCGAAACAGCTGCTTTCTATGCTACATTTATTTGTACACACCGGTAGTTTAACACGTTCACTGTTCATCTATCATATATGATTCATTTAATTTTTGACTATGGAGTTCATGTATCAGATATGATGCATTTGCAAGATTAGACGAACTATGATTTGACTACAACAAGACTAGACTAACTATGATGGCTAACAATGCTTGAATCTAAAGTGCATCTTTTTGGCGGAGGGTCAATCTTCACTTATTTACTTATATCCCATTCTTACGTCTTCAGAGCGACGGCGGCAACAAAAATCAATTGATCTTTATATTAATTTCTATTTAATGGTAGCTGATTCCTATTCTGAACAGTTTCAAGATGATAAAATATTCCAGTGTTATGTTGCTTATCTCAGATATTCTTCTAAACCTAAACACTCTTTCATCTTCAAATGGCCGATAGCTAGGTATGCACCAGTAAAAGTGCTTCACAAAAGTTTAAGACCTTTTTTGTTTTTGCAATAACTCAACTTCCTTGATAGATACAGATTCCGTTCTTTCGCCAAAAGAAAGCCTACGTTGAGTACTATAAACCCTGAGAAAATGGTTAAGTTCCGGCTTAATTTGACTGAGCTAAAGCAAAAACGCGGTGTTTTATACACTTGGAAAATCTTACTTCCTGAGTATTTCACGTTTCCTA